GTTCACACGCAGCAGCCCTGCACCCTCCCAGCCTGCCGTGGACCCTGCGTGTCCTGGACTCTGCTCCCAGACTGTTCACATGCAGGAGCCCTGTGCCCTCCCAGCCTGCCGTGGACCCTGCGTGTCCTGGACTCTGCTCCCAGACTATTCACACGGAGCAGCCCTGTTCCCACGATGCCTGTATCCAGCTGGAAGTGGCGTGTTCGGGGACAAAGCCTGCCACATGTCGGGGAGCCTGGGCTGGGGGGCCACAGCCGGGGCTCAGGGAGGAGGGTTGCTCGGGTGAGAGGGAGGTGTCGTTTGCCCCCGGTCTGGGCCTGGGTGTTGCCAGCCACGGCAGGTCGCCTGCAGGTGCAGGGCTTCACGCTGACCCAGCGGCCCCCGGTCCCCACGGCGACTGGGATGGGGTCGGAGTGCGGGAGCCCGTGACGCTGAACTCTTCCAGTGCGTTTGTGTCTTATTTCTGACGGAAATTCTGTTTGGTCACATAGGCGGAGACCTGGGACTCGGGTCACACTCCTTCCCAAAGTCGCAGCAGCGAGAAAGTAGAAGAGGCTGTGTCTGACCCGAAAGCCCGTGAAATCAGGATCTCTTAGCCTCTTGTCTTTCTCTGGAAGCTGCAAACGGCAGCACGATGGGGAAGAGTCGGCGAGGGAGCGAGGCTGCCCTGCGACCTGGCGCAGGCGGGTCACTCAGCCTGCACGTCACACCGTGTCTGGTCCACCAGAGTAAGTGGATTGATTAATGTATAAAACTTAAAATAGCACCTGACACTTAATAAGCGGTAATTCCAAACATTAGCTGCTATTATGATTACATTTAATGACTTATCACAATGGGGATAAAAATCTACCCTTCTGGGCTTATCACTTCCTGCTTGCTTATCTTCTGGAACCATCTGTGGCTTCCTGGGCTTTCCCTCTGCTCTCCTGACTCAGCGCCTCTGTTCCCTGTGTCTGTAGGACTTTGTAGGTTACAGACAACAAAAACCCAACTGGAACGGTGAAGGGACTTCAGGCTAGGCTTGATCCAGCCACTCACTGGTGTTCCTTTATTTCCTTTATTTGCTGGTGTGTTTGCCCTGGCGTGCTCCACCGCTGCGGTCTGGCTGGGTGAGGCCTGCCCTGCGCAGACCCTGACCAGAGGGCGGCGTGCGACCGGCCCCCTAAAGAGGCGCGAGGGAGGGTCAGCGCCACCCGCTGGCAGGACGGGAGGCAGCGGTTCTGGAGAGGAAAATTGGAAGGCGGATCCTCTCTCTCCTCGCTACCCCAAGTTTCCCCAACACAGGCTGGACAGGTTGGTCCCAGGTGCGGAGGCCCCCGGCATGTAGTGTGTGCTCAGACGTTTGTGCCGAGTGGACGAAATTCCCTCCTCGCGAAGCTTTTCCGGGTACTGTCGATGAAATATAATTTCCGCCTCCCGAGAACAGTGACGTTTAGTGTCCGCACTGTTTTGCTGTTTTTGTGTTTTTGTTCGGATCTCTTCCTTAGACTATCCAGCGTCTAAAACGTGGCTGTTTTCCTTCCCTTTCCTTTCCTGGTGTGTGAGAAACCCAGTAACCCGTAGTGGAGTGACGTAATGGATGAACGTGGACGTGAGTGGCAGGTGACAGACTGGAGCACACGCAGGTGGTGGGTGGTGGGTAAACCTGGCCCGAGGGACCTTCCTGGGGAGGCCCTCGCGCAGCCCCGGGGCAGGCGCATAGGGCGGCCCGGGCCACGGGGATGGGGCCGCGGGTCCTACTTGGTGCCCAGCATGCGTGTGGCTGGGCGGGCAGCGGCTCTCCCGGCCAGGGAGGCCGGGTGGGCAGAGGAGAGCCCAGGCCGAGGAGCCGACCATGCCTTTCCGCTCGGGGAGCGGCGAGCTCCGTGGCTCCCACCCGCGGTGGCTTGCGCCCGCCTGAGCCCGCCTGGAGGGAGGAGGGCACCCGCGGAGCCGCTGCGGAGGGACGAGGAGCTCGGAGTGTGTGGAAGGCGGAGGTGGGGGGTGAGCGGGCTGTCCCCGTCCCGTGGGAGCCCAAGCCCCATCACTGTGCCCTCCGCAGCCGCCTCACCTCCCCGCAGCCCGGCCCGAGCTGGAAACAGGGCGCCCCGCAGGGCCTGGAGCCCGGGCGGCCATGGGGGCCCTCGTGGTGCTCGCTCTGTGCGAGGCCCTGAGCTTCCGCAGAGGCCCTGCTCCCCGGACTCAGCAGGTCTCCTGGGCAGAAAGTGAGTCTCGCAGCGTCCTGTCTGCTCCGCCTGGGCCCCGTCTGTGCGCGGCGCAGCCCAGCTGCAGGGCAGGGTGGCTGTCCGGGCGCCGGCGAGAGGTCAGAGGTGCGGCAGAACCCGCCAGGCGGGAGGGCTGTTCTGGGCCCCTCGGACTGAGGATGGGGAGCAGCTAGCCGGTTCTGCAGCTCCACGTGCCTGAAAGGGAGTTGGCATTCAAGTTAAATGTCATGCCTCCTGACAGTCACGAGACCAATAAAGGTGGGCGTCTTAGTTATATATGGATACATGGCAAGTCACCCCCAGATTTAGTGGCTTAAAAATAACAAACAGCTGTTCTCAAACACAGTCTCCAAGTGTGGTCCTGGCTCAGGGTCTCCCGGGAGGCTCAGCCGACTGTGACCCGGGGCTGGACGCTGGCTGGAGATCTGCCCCTAACACGCCAGTGCCGCGCCTGGCCGGCTGGTGGCGAGTGTGACCCGGGGCTGGATGCTGGCTGGAGATCCGCCCCTAACACGCCAGTGCCGTGCCTGGCCAGCTGGTGCCGGCTGTGATCCGGGGCTGGACGCTGGCTGGAGATCCGCCCCTAACACGCCAGTGCCGTGCCTGGCCGGCTGGTGCCGGCTGCGGGCAGGGTCTTCTCACCCGAGGGCCCTCACAGCAGGGCAGCCGGTTCCTCACAGGGGTGGCCCGCGAGAGCAGGCGCAGAGGGCACACCGTGCTTTCCTGTCACCTACTCTCGGGAGTGACCCGTCTGCTCTGCTTCACTCAGTTGCCGGCGAGTCCAAGGTGTTGCCCTCGAGGCAGGAGCCAGACCCCGCCTCTTGGGGGGAGGGACATCGAAGGGTCTGCAGACGCATCTTAAAACCACTGTGGAGGGTGTGACAGCTAAACTCGACCCGTAGAGACTGCCCCAAACGTCACCTGGCACGTGTCATTTGGCGATCTCACTTTAGCTGGTAGGTCTATAACGCAATGTCGGCTGCCGCACCAGCCGAGGGGTTTGGGCTGATTACTAAGCCGCCCTGGGACTCAGCTTTGTCCTTTGTGAAATGGGGACTCGCGGCCGCCCTGTTCCCAGCCCCCAGGGGACACTCGTGCCCCCCGTGGACACAGGCCTGGCTGAGCAGGGTCCACCTCGCAGGGACGGGCGAAGACTGCGGGCGCAGGCAGAGCTGTGCACAGCACGGCGTCCACACGTGGGCGTCTTTGCGAGGAAGGGCTGCGGCTGGCCTGGGCACCGCGGGTCAGTGCATTCTGCAGAGACCCGGCTCCCCACCTCCCTGCACCCCAGCTTCTGGCCTTGAGAACAGAAATGTGGTGCAGTAAGGGTTCAGCCTGCAGAACCGTGAGTTCCTTGGGGTCAGCGGTTCTCCCACGCAGACAAATGGTTCTGTGGAAATTCTGCTTCCCGACCGCGAGAGCCTGTGGGAGTTCCGACATCACCAGGTGTGGCTCTGCCTGGATTTTCCGCCCCACTTTGTTTTCTCCTCCTTCCATGCTGGGGTTGCTGGTTCGGGGTCCTCTAGGCAGCCCCCTTGTGGAGTTTCAGCGTCTGGAGGAGTTTCAGGCCGAGCAGCCTGGGTGTCCCCTGTGGAGCCGGAGGAGACCGTGAGTGGAAACAGTCCCCCCTTTGCTCTCCTCGGTTTGCTCCTGGCGCCCAACAGCTTCGGCCTGGTCCAGGGCACCGCCTGCCTCTCAGAGGCTCCCGGGTGGCGCTGCTCAGCTTGCCGCTCTCTGCACGTCCGCGTTTTCGTCATTGTCACTCATGCCTGAGACCCCCCGGCCCCCGGCCTCCCCTAGGGACCCTCACGCTCTCCTCTACGCCCCGACTCAGGGGCCAGGGAGCTCGGTGAACGTGACTGCAGGTGGCTGGGGACAGCCCCGTGTGGAGTGTCTTCCCCGTGGTTTTAGCAGGTGAAATGACACCGGTGGCACCACATGTCCCATTTCTGAGGTAGAAGATACTGTCGCTCTTCTAAGAGGAGAAGCTCCTTTCTCTGTGGTTCTTCCACCTCCAGTGGAAGTGAAGGAGGAGGCTTCACCCGCAGGCGGCTTGTCTCTCCTGGAGGGAGGGACAGAGACCGGCTCTGCGGGCAGGTGAGGCAGGTGAGCAAGGGGGGCCTGTCCAGCCTTCACCAAGCGACGGGACAGAGACAGCCCCCGAGCTGAGGAAGACGGGCTCGGGACAGGCTGGGACCAGGGCTGTGGTGGCATCCCTGAACAGCTGGACACGTGCCCCGAGGAGCAGGTGCAACCCCGCTGCGGCTGCCAGTCTGGCCGGGAGCAGGAGAGGTGAGGGGGGACAAGCACCGCCTGGCAGGTGAGGTCACAGGGCAACCTCCAGGGTCTGCAGACAGACAGGCACTCAACATTTGGGGCGTGCGTCATGTAGGGTTTTCACTGGTTTTCCTTCTTAAGAGAACTCTGTGGCAGAGGAAGTGCCCTGTATTTCAGATACTTCCAGGAGTGCTGGCAACGGGAGGAGGAAGAATCCGCTGCTTTCAGCATCACGGAGGTTACCCGACTTTTCTTATCAGTGGGAATGTTCTGGGGTTGCCGTTTGGCCGAGACAGCTCAGTGGGCTTCTGGCTTTGACTGGAAGAGCCAGTCCACCCGCCCTAGGCACCGCTGGGACCTCAGTGTGGGGCTCGGGCCTGCTCCCTCCCGGTCAGAGCGCAAAACCTTCAAAGGTGCCGTACGGGCCGAGCAGACCTCAGCGGGCGCAGTTGGCGCTGCCGTGAGGGCCTGGACAGGCCCAGCCCTGGACCCCCAGAGGCTGCCTCCACACCCCAGATGGGTGATTCCGCACCGGGCTCCGCGGTAAGTGACACCAGGACAGTCTGCAGGCGGTGACTAGAAACAGGGTGGCTTTTCCCAATCCAACGGTGAGACTGAAACGCAGCCTAACACTGCGGACGCCACATCCCGCCGTTTCACACAGGCACTGTGTGACCGCTGTGGCCTTCGCGTCCCCTGAGCGGGTCCCCACTCCCGGGGTGCCGGGTCTGTCGCCTCACCCTGGAAGGCACAGGCAGGTCAGACACTTGGGTGTGGCGTGTGGCCCAGAACTCTGGACTCATCTCTCGTTCGGTGTGTGATGTGGGGCAAAATAATCCAGCCCCTCACAGCCTCAGTTTCTGGCTGGATGCAGGCAGGGGCCCAAGGAAACTCGTCCTCTCTTGCCTCCCAGGAAACTGTCGCCGAGCAGTAGGGGATTTGCTGAGTTCCTGTGGTGCCAAGAGGCCGAGGGAGGAATCGCCCACACCTGGGCACCTGGCGACCGCGAACCCCGGCTGTTTGGTGCCGGGCGGACGGACCCTGAGTCCCCAGACACAGCCGGTCCCTCCGCCACCGAGGAGCACGGCATCGACCCGGGATCACGTCAGACAAGAAAATCAGAGCAACACTAGCAGCTCAGTTGGAAGGGAAAGAGAACACCAGGCCAAAACACCTGCTTTCCTTTTTCTCACGCTGTCAGGTAAGTGTCTTTCCCTCACCGGCTGTTGAGACAGCACGAGAAAAGCCCCCTGAGCGGGAACTGGAGGAAGACCCACGAGCTATTTAATGTGCTGCGCGCCGCCGGCTTCGGTTGCGGGCACTGAAACCGCCGCTGCGCTTCACGCCCGCGTCACGCCGCACGACACCGCCGCTGCGCTTCACGCTCGCTCACGCCGCACGACACCGCCGCTGCGCTTCGCGCCCGCGTCACGCCGCACGACACCGCCGCTGCGCTCCACGCTCGCGTCACGCCGCACGACACCGCCGCTGCGCTTCGCGCTCGCGTCACGCCGCACGACACCGCCGCTGCGCTTCACGCCCGCGTCACGCCGCACGACACCGCCGCTGCGCTTCGCGCCCGCATCACGCCGCACGCCGCTCGGGGGCTTCCGCACACGTTTCGTCCCGTTCCGGAGTGGCATGTTGGTACAGGCTGCTGAAATTATCATTTCAGTTTTTTAAGTGAGGAAATTGAGGGGTTCGTGATTTCCCCAAGGAATTTCAGGGCACTGGAGAGAGGGCCACGCTTACGGACGCGTGGAGGGAGGGTGGTCAGCCACGCGGCCGTCCGGTGAGGGCGGAGCCGGGGGGGGGGCGGCGCCCCCAGGGCGAGAGCTGCCTAACCTGCCAGGCCGGCCCCACACCGCCCCACGCGGGGGTAGGCAGCGCAGCCCTGACTTGGAAGAGGACATGGAGGGTCACAGAGTTGAGGGGCCTGTCTGAGGTCACGCAGGCAGTGCCTGCTCCTGCCCAGACCCCTGCCTTGAAGGCCCGGAGTTCCTGAGTGCGAGCAGGGCCGTGGGGCTGAGAAGCTCCCAGAGCCTCCAAAGGGGACGGCCGTGGGGCCCCACCCAGGGCGTTGGTGCTTCTTTCCCGGCCCATGGCTCGGGGAGCTGGTTCACAGACTCCCTGCCCGTCCCATGGACGCGGGCTTAGTGCCGTGTCCCGTACTGGCCTTATCTGCCGGCCTGAGAAGCCTTCGTCCCTCCCTCCCAGTCAGGGACACCAGTCGTACACGTGCGTCTGTGCGCAGCGTCTCCCGGGCCGTTTCGTGGTGCCTGGGAGCCGTTGCAGACTCCTGGGTTGCACCTAAAGAGTCAGGGCTGTACCTTTGGTTGTGGGAGGCCCAGCAGCTACCGCTCCAGGGACCCCAGAGTGACCGCTGCTTTTTTCAAAGTCTAAGTCCCCCAGATAGTGGGTCGGTGCAAAAGTAATTGCAGTTTTAGCATTTTTTGACATTTGCTCTTTGATACTGGAATACATTCTTAAATACATGTGGTCATGTCATACATCATTTTAGTATGAATTTCTTGTTTTATTTGTTTTGCTAATGACTTATTATTAGCTGTTTATTTGATGCTTATTTTAGACTATGGAAATGATGTTATACAAAAAGCAAATTTGAGGGATTTTCTTATTCGCGTTCAAAATGGGTCGTAAAGCAGCAGAGACAAGTCGCAATGTCCACGATGCATTTGGCCCAGGAACTGCTAACGACCGTGCAGTGGGGGGGCAAGAAGTTTCGCAAAGGGGAGGAGAGCCTTGAAGATGAGAAGCGCAGTGGCCATCGGAAGTTGACAACGACCCATTGAGAGCAACCATCGAAGCTGATCCTCTTGCAACTACACGAGAAGTTGCTGAAAAACTCAAGGTCGACCATTCTACAGTCATTAGGCATTTGAAGCAAATTGGAAAGGTGAAAAAGCTCACTAAGTGGGTGCCTCATGAGCTGACCACAAATCAGAAAAATCATCATTTTGAAGTGTCATCTTATTGTATGCAACAATGAACCATTTGTGACGTGTGACGAAAAGTGGATTGTATATGACAACCGATGACAACCGCTCAGTGGTTGGACCGAGAAGCAGCTCCAAAGCACTTCCCAAAGCCAAACTTGCACCACAAAAACGTCATGATCACTGTTTGGTGGTCTGCTGCTGGTCTGATCCACTGCAGCTTTCTGAATCCCGGTGAAACCAGGACATCTGAGAAACATGCTCAGCAAATCGATGAGACGCACTGAAAACTGCCACGCCTGCAGCTGGCATCGGTCAACAGAAAGGGCCGACTGCACGTTGCACAACCAACACTTCAAAAATTGAACGAATTGAGTTTTGCCTCATCCGCCGTATTCACTTGACCTCTTGCCAACAGACTCCCACTTCTTCAAGCATCTCAACAGCGTTTTGCAGGGAAAACTCTTCCACAACCAGCAGGATGCAGAAAATTCTTTCCAAGAGTTCTTGGAATCCCGAAGCATAGATTTTTACGCCACAGGAATAAACAAACTTCTTTCTTATTGGCAAAAATGTGTTGATTGTAACGATTCCTATTTTGATTAATGAAAACGTGTTTGGGCCTAATTATAATGATTTAAATTTCATGGTTCAAAATCACAATTACTTTTGCACCAACCTTAATATGTCACAAAATATGTTTGAACAAATACCTCAGCTTCTGCCTTTTTAATTTAATTTTTCAGCATATTATGGGGATACAAATGTTAAGGTTACGTATATTGCCCTTTCCCTCCTCCCCCCTTGAGTCAGAGCTTCAAGCGTGTCCATCCCCCAGTTGGTGTGCATCACACTCATTATGTATGTATATACCCATCCCCTCCCCTCCGCCTGCCCAACACCCGATAAATGTTATTCCTATATGTCCACTTAGGTGTTGATCAGTTAACACCAATTTGCTGGTGAGTACATTTGGTGCTTATTTTTTCCATTCTTGGGATACTTCACTTAATAGAATGGGTTCTAGCTTTATCCAGGAAAATACCAGAAGTGCTGTATCACCATTGTTTCTTAAAGCTGAATAGTACTCCATGGTATACATATACCACATTTTATTAATCCACTCATGTACTGATGGGCACTTGGGTTGTTTCCACATCTTTGCAATTGTGAATTGTGCTGCTATAAACATTCGAGTGCAGGTGTCTTTTTCATAAAGTGACTTTTGTTCTTTTGGGTTGATGCCCAGTAGTGGGATTGCTGGATCAAATGGTAGATCCACTTGTATCGCTTTAAGGTATCGCCGTATTGCTTTCCACAGAGGCTGAACTTGTTTGCAGTCCCAGGCTTCTGCTTTTTTATCTATACAACGGTTCTCAGCATGGGTGCAGACCAGAATGACCTGAATGCACACTCCCAGGCCTGCTGCGTCGGAAGCTGGGAGGAGGCCATGGCATGTAGACGCTGTCAGAGCAGAGCAGATTCTGTGGCTTTTCTGGCCAGAACCCCAGACCAGACGGTCTCCAAGTTCTCCTCCAGCTCCTACGGTCTTGTCAATGTTTAAAACTTCTCCATTTCCTGGTTAGAGCTGAAACCCATACTACTAAGTGAAGTATCCCAAGAATGGAAAAACAAGCACCAGATATATTCTCCAGCAAACTGGTATTAACTGAGTAGCACCTAAGTGGACACATAGGTACTACAGTAATAGGGTATTGGGCAGGGGGGAGGGGGGCGGGGGGCGGGTATATACATACATAATGAGTGAGATGTCCACCATCTGGGGGATGGTCATGATGGAGACTCAGACTTTTGGGGGGAGGAGGGGAAATGGGCATTTATTGAAACCTTAAAATCTGTACCCCCATAATATGCCGAAAAAAAAAAAAAAAAAAACTTCTCCAGAGAGGACAGCTGGGCACGGCGGCCACACCTGTAATCTCGGGACTTTGGGAGGCCAAGGCAGGAGGACGGCTCGAGGGCAGGGGTTTGCGACACACCTGGGCAACGTAGCAAGAACTGTCTCTAAGAAAACCTTTAAAGCTACACAGCACTTTGAACGGGGGAAGGGCTTTGTCCCCAAGATAACGTCACCAGCAGACGCTGCAATGCCAGAGCATGGACCACACTCCTCCGCCGAGCGTGCTGGGAAGGGGCCGAGTGCGGCGAGGCGCTGGTGGCCCACAGCGGGCCCAGCAGGCACTTGTCACCCGTCGGCCCCCTGAGCCCTTTGGGGACTCGCAGCAAATGGCGAGGAGCAGCACGGGGACAGGAGAGAGGAGGCAGCCTCGCCTCTCGGCTTCTATTCACAGCGAAGCTCTCCCAGAAGACGGAGGGGAATCGGATAGCTCTGGGAACCAGTAACGGGATAGGGAATTTTCCGACCTGCGTTGACCACCTGTTTGGACCCGGCCCCCAGGCCCAGGGACCCACAGCCGCCGTCGCCTGGCAGCTGTTTGGTGGGGACACGGCGTGAGGTGGCCTCGCTCGGTGCCAGAGGGACAGGTGTGTCACGGCCCAACCCACTCTCGGCCGCACCTCTGCCGACAGTCGTCCAGGGACCACGCGGGGTGGCGGCCCTCACTTCGCTGGTGCGCCAGGGCCCACGGCGGGTGCCCGGGGCGCACGGACACCAAAGCTCCCGTGCGTGCGTCTGCGTCTGCGCCTGCGCGGGGCGCCCGGCCGGGCCTGGCCTCCCGGGCCTCGGCGTGGCGTGGCGTGGCGGCCACAGGTGCCTGCTGGGAAACGCTGCGCTTTCCCCTCCTCCCGCCTGGGAGCCCGGGCCCGCGCCAGGCTGGGTCGCCGGCTGCCCTTGTGCGCCGCGTGCCCCACGGCCTGCGTGCGTTTGCTCCGCATGCGCAGTTGTCTCTCTCTGGCCTGCCAGCCGGCGGCGGGGCCCGGACAGAGGGCGGGCGGCGTGGGCCGGTTGGTCGGGCTTCAGAGAGCCCGGAAAGCGCAGGCCCGACCGCGGTGCGCGCGCGGATCACGCTGGCAACGTTCTGAATAGAAAATTGTCTATTCTAGGGAAGATTTTCTATTGGTGACTGTCTCGCTAGTTCGTGGCACATTCCAGCTATTCTCGGGACAATTCCTTTCCTTTTTCCTTTCCCCTTTCCTTTTCCTTTCCTTTCCTTTCCTTTCTTTTCCTTTTCCTTTTTCCTTTCCTTTCCTTTCCTTTCCCTTTCCTTTCCCTTTCCTTTCCCCTTTCCTTTCTCCTTTCCTTTCCTTTCCTTTCTTTCTTTTTTTATTTTGAGGCAGAGTCTCACTCTGTCCCCTGGGCTAGAGTGCCATGGCGTCAGCCTAGCTCACAGCAACCTCAAACTCCTGGGCTCGAGCAATCCTCCTGCCTCAGCCTCCCGAGTAGCTGGGACTACAGGCATGCACAACCATCCCCAGCTAATTTTTTCTATATATTTTTAGTTGTCCAGCTAATTTCTTTCTATTTTTAGTAGAGACGGGGTCTTGCTCTTGCTCAGGGTGGTTTCAAACTCCTGACCTTGAGCAACCTGCCCTTCTCAGCCTCCCAAAGTGCTAGGATTACAGGTGTGAGCCACTGCGCCCGTCCTTGGACAATTTCTTGTAGACAAAAACCCAGTCCTCCTGAAATGGAATTCCAGTAGGGCTTGGCAGCCCACGGCTCCCTGGACTACACGTGGAGCAGGGCTGAGTTTCCACAGCGAGAGAGCAGTGAGCAGAACCGAAGACCCAACCGCTGGGACTCATCACTGCAGACCAGCCGATTCAGTGGGAAAAGCTCGGAAAGCCGGTTGCACAACCAGGTCCCTGTGGCTCCACTCCAGCTAATGGACGAAGTTCTCCATGCGTCTCTGTCTCTGTGCTGCTCAGGGCGCCGTCGTGGTCCTGACCGGGCCTCCCTTCTCCCTCTCACCCTCCCATGGGGGCCTGGCGGGCGCAGGTGACAGAGGGCCTTGCAGGGGCCTCTGGAGACATGTCAGCTGTGGAAAGTGGGATGGAGGCCTCAAGCCCAGGCCCGTGAGAAGGGGAGGCCTGGAAGTGAGTTCACAGCCTCCCTCTGCGAGAGGGAGTGGCTCTCCTTTCATCCTGTCCCGGCAAGGCTCAAACTGCCCGTCTTTGCAGGTGAGGCCTCAGCCAGCAGGTGTGAATTCCTGTCCCTGGAGGTGGCTGGGGGCCCAGGCAGCAGCTTTGATCTGGGACACTCTCTGGGCCATTTGGAGAGGCCGCACCTCCCAGCCAAGTGCCATCGGTCAGTAGGTGGTGACAATGACAGCTCCGGCCCATTAAACCCTTCAGCGCACAAAGGAGCTGTAGGGAGCAGCTCTGTGGGGCCAGCACAGGCGGCCACACCTGCTGGGGCTCCCGGAGGTGTGGACAGGGACCCCCCACTCTCCCCAGAGAGGGCAGGTGTGGCCGAAGCCCCCACTTGACCCCTGTTTATGTGGAAACCCCTCTCCGACTTCGGCTTTGCCGAGTTGCCGAGCAGGGACCTCTGGGCAGGGCTACGCTTGGAAGGCACCTGGCAGAGGCCCCAGGGAGGTGCGGGCAGCTGGTGCAGGAGGGTGGTGGGTGCCCAAGTCCACCAGGGGCTGCAGAACCAGCACGTTTGGGCCCGGCCCAGGCTCTGGCCCCGCCCTCTTCGTGGCGGCAGCCGTTGGGGTGGCCTGCGACCCCCCGGGGTTGCTCCCGGCGCTCCCAGTCCACGGCAGAAGCTGAGGGGAGGCCAGCAGGCCGGCTTCGCCTGGGTGTCAAAGACTTTGGGCCTTTAAGCAAAACCGTCAGAGAAGGCCGGCTTGCTCTCACAGTTTTAAAAAACCAGCTGGCTGTGGCGGGTGCTTGTAGTCCCAGGTGCTAGGGAGGCTGAGGCGGGAGGATCGCAGAGCTCAGGAGCCGAGGTGCACAGTGAGCTCTGCCGGGGTCGCTGCTCTCGGCCTGGGCGGCGGAGCCAGACCAGAGCAAACAAATGCAAACCCACCGTGGACAGGCCCCTTTCCTCTCTGCCCCGGAACCTTTCCTCAGAGGCTGCCCTGTGGGGAACCGGCCTTGCTGGGGGGCCCCGCACCTCCCCTCCCAGCCCCGCCGCGATTCCTCCTCCCCGGGGGCCCACGCTTTCTGCAAGTCCTCCCCACACTGACTGTCTTCTCTTCTGAGACAGGGTCTGGCCTTGCTGCCCAGGCTGAGTACATGGCTGGTCAGAGCTCGCCGCAAACCCCGGCTCCTGGGCCCAGTGACCCTCGGCCTCCCAAGTTCTGGGATCATGGGTGTGAGCCACCCCTCAGCCCCACGCCGACTTTCAACCTGGTTCCATGTCTGTGAAAATCTGGGGTGCAGGGGCAGGTTGAGCAGCACCTGTGCCAGTCCCTCCTCTCCGCCGCCCTGCAGCGGAACCCTCTCCGTAACATCCCGAGTCCTGCTCCCAGGCTGGCGGGGCGTGGGGTGTCTGCAGCGTCCTCCAGGCTGGCCGAGCTGCCCGCGCCCGAGGGAGCCGCAGGCACAGCTGAGGCAAAGACTCTCATCCTGTCGGGAGCCAGGGAACGCCGAGTCCGTGACCTCGAGGAGCTTTTGTGAAGCTCATCTCCGCCTGCCCTTTCCTTCCCAGCCTTTCTGGGAAGCGGCCTCGCCTGTGGCCCAGGCTTCGCTCCCCACTCGCCCCTGCCTGGCCTGCGCTCCCCACCCGCCCCTCCCCGGCCTGCGCTCTCCACTCGCCCCTCCCAGTCCTGCGCTCCCCACTCGCCCCTCCCAGTCCTGTGCTCCCCACTTGCCCCTCCCAGGCCTGCACTCCCCACTCGCCCCTGCCTGGCCTGCCCGGCCCCCCACTCCGGCCCCCAACACTGCCGAGCTGTTCTCAGCGCCACATCTGACTCTGGCTGTCCCGGGTCACATGCCACCGAGCCGTGCACATTACAGCGTGTATGTCCCATCACGATACCCGTATGTTTTTCAGAGATGCCACAGTTCGGGCATGCTGAGGCCCTGTGACCTGGAACCTCCCTGGAGTGTCTGCAGGTGGCGCCCACAGGCTGAGCTCCCACCTCCGCCCAGCTCTGCCCTGAGCTTGCTGGCACCCCCTTGCTCTTGCTACGTGTGTGACACGAAATGGACGCAGGGAAGATCCCGCTTGTCTGTGTGCTGCACGGCGCACACACAACTGTGGAGGCCCGGGTCCTCAGCAGCTGGGGAGCCGAGACGGGACCCAGGGTGTCCGCGCCCCAGCTCTGTGGGGCAGTGCGCAGCCGGCTCTCTGGTGTAACTGCGGACGGCAGCCTGGGGGTTCAGGGTGTGCCAGCAAGTGTGTGAGTGTGCACATGTGTGCGACCGTGCACAGTGCATATGTGAGCATGTGTGGTTGTGCATGTGTATGTGTGTGCAAACATGTATGTGTGTTTGCATGTGAGTGTGAGTAGTGTGCGCATGTGTGAGTGGGCATGTGTGTGCGACTGTGCACGGTGCATACGTGAGCATGTGTGCAAGTGTGCATGTGTTTGTGGTTGTGCATGTGTATGTGTGTGCAAACACGTATGTTTCCATGTGCTGTGCGCATGTGTGAGTGTGCATGTGTGTGTGCATGTGAGTGTGAGCGTGAGAGGCACCAGCTGTGACTTCTCATGGATTTTGCTGGTGAGACAGAAAATGTAGGTCTTCTAAAATTCCTTTTTTTGGTGGGGGGAAGTTCTTTGTTCATTTTTCTTTTTCTTTCTATGTCAATAGAAAACTGTGTTGAGTTTCTAGGGTACGGGAATGGCCTGTCTTACCCTCAGGGTGCTTATACATGCATGCACACACGAAACACTCCACGGAGCCATGCATGTTACTGCATGCATGTTATACAGCAATACATGTATATTTTTAAGAGATGCAACAGTGATGTCCCTCTGCAAAGTCTGTCTCCCTCCAGATCTTTCCATAGATTCAGTGTAAATTCTTGTAGGACCTTACAATACTAGAGGTCTTTTAATGAATGTTTTATTATAAAAGCTGTCATCCAAATTTTCTGTGATATTTAAATATACCTTAATTTGGATTTCTCTGCAGAGTTTCTGAGGCTTCCTTTTCTGACTTCTCGATGGAAGCCCCTTCCTGGAAGGCCCAGCCATTCTTGCAGGTGGCACGGAGCCGGCGGCCTGGCCCACGAGCCCTGTGGTTCGCTCTCCCGGCCCACCTGTCTGTGCTGACCTGGGCTGCTCTACCGGCCAGAGCCAGATGCTGGGCTGGGTCGGCGCTCAGGCGGGCCGGGCACCCCGGGCCTGTCCCTGCGAGTGTGGCCACCGTTGACCTCCTTCCCTCTGCGTTTGGGGCAAACCAGGGGTGGAGCCGGGAGGTGGGACGGGATCCTCGGTTCTGGGGGCAAACTGCTTGCAGTCCCCTCATGACAGCCACGGCACGTGGACGTCCCCAGTGTGCATTCCTCCTGCCTGGGTCTCTCCGGGTCCACCTGCCACCCGCCTTCCCTGCAGTGGCAGCGCAGGCTGTTCTCTTCTTCGCTCAGACCCGGCTCCTTCTGGCAACGCTGCCCCCGGGCTGCGCCCTGTGGAGCCAGCTCCAGGCACGGCCCCTCCCGCCGTCCCCTGGCCGTCCCCGCCTCTCTCTGCGCGCCGGGCGGGCAGCTCCTGTGTCCGGCAGTGGCGGGGTCCTGCAGGGAGACCCGGGGCAGGCAGCGCACTGCCGTCTGCTGAAGTCTGAGCAGGAGGCTGAGAGGCCCGAGGGAGCCCCAAGCCCCGGCTCCTGGGGGCCCATCCCTGCTCGATGCTCCTCCCTTCATACCCACAGGCCGACAGGTCTTGGGTGCCCCTGCTCCCAGCGGTCACCACAACCCAGACCTCAGATCCCAACTGCCTACAGCTGCAGTCCTAACCCCCGGGCCGAGGACCGGTGCTGATCCGTGGCGGTCCCAACCCCCGGGCCGAGGACCGGTGCTGATCCGTGGCGGTCCCAACCCCCGGGCCGAGGACCGGTGCTGATCCGTGGCGGTCCTAACCCCCGGGCCGAGGACCGGCGCTGATCCTCTTAGGAACCGGGCCGCTCGGCAGGAGGTGAGCACTGGGCGAGCGAGTGGGAGAAGCTTCACCTGTGTTTACAGACGCTCCCCGTTGCTGGCGTCACCGCCCGGGCTCCGCCTTCTGTCACAGCAATGGCCTCATTAGATTGTCGTAGGAGCTTGGACCCTACTGAGAACTGTGGGTGGGAGGAATCTAGGTTCATGCTCCTTACGAGAATCTAGTGCCTGATGATCCGAGGGGGAGCTGAGGTGGCGATGCCGGTGCTGGGGAGCAGCTGCAGACACAGATCACCACGAGCAGAGAGGTTCGACTGCACAGAGGCCTTAATGAATCAACTGCTTGCAGAGTCATATCAGCGCCCTATCAGTGAGTGGCGAGTGACAGTTACGCTGCACCTGGTGGCAGCTGTAAGTCAGAATCTGACACTTAGAGTCCGTGTGTGGCCCGCCCGATATTTCATTTGCCACTCCCATCCTCACCTCTTCCCCAGACTTTGCACTTGTCTCCATCAAGGTCTGGGTGACCCACAAGCCAACCTAACAAAAATGAGTTAAAAGCAAACGCCACTGGAGAGCTGCCCTGAAAAGGTGGAAAGGCCCAAGGTGAGGCAGCAGAAGACTGCAAGGCTGCCAACAAAATGAAAGCTGCATTTAAAACAAAATATCAAGAGTCCTCCTTAAATTATGGTTCCTTGCAACAGGTGATTCCCATTCTCCAAGCCGCTTTGTACAATATATGGGGACCTAGTACCTAATGAAGCCATGAAAGCTTCAAAACTGCTTTGCCACACGGAGACCAAGCGCCCTGCACTAAAAGACAAGCCTTTGGAGTTTTTCAAAAGAAACGCAAACACAAAGAACAGAAGCAATTACTGAAGGCCACCACCTCATCAAGTGTGTCTGCCCTGAGAGCATCACTCCTAGTGGCTACCGCACTGCTGACGCTAGGAACCCCTTTGCTGTTGGTGAAGAGCCGATCCTGCCTGCCGCTAAGCACGTTTGCCGTGAACTTGTAGGAGAGGCTGCAGTGCCAAACGTGGCACCTGTTCCTCTTTCGGCCAGCGCCGAAACTAGACGAATTGATGAAACAGCAGAGGACATTGAGGCAAGTTGCTAGAGAGCACTGATGTGTCCGTGCGGGGCCGTCCCCCATCCAGACATGCCTCAGCCTGCAGGGTCAGCGGGGCGGGTGCATCGGCTCTGCCCACGCTTCACCTGGTGTCTGGCTGGGGCTGCTGGGCTCAGGCACTGCCCTTCGCGGTTCCTGTCCCCCTCCGAGCTCTGGTCTGGGCAGCCCCAGCCCTGCAGACCCTGCCCCACCTGAGGGAGCTTTGCCTGCCTGTCACGGTGGCCACCTGGCCCCACTCAGAGATGACAGACTGGGGGGATTCGTGCCTGCCCTGGGGCAGCGCCCGGGTCAGGGGTGGGAGCCTGCGGCCTTCTAGGTCCCTCTAGGTCCTGGAGTGTGGCCTTTTGACTGAATCCACATTTTACAGAACAAATCCTCTTATTTTTATTAATACATTTTTGTTTGTCCTTTATGTTTTTATTTTATTTTTAAAATGAATGTATTTAAAATATCTAAGAATAAAATAAATTTCAACTAAATAATCCTCCCAGGTTGACCAGCACAATTGATATGTTAGTAAGTCGTAAGGGCTAAACTGACAACAGCTACACTCATGACTTGTTCTAACTTCCCCGCCTGACTGGGGCCACTGCCGCAAGAGGCTGGTTGGGGAGAGTTTATGGGATTGAGTAGGCCAGTCTGTTACTGTGTTTCTGTTTGAAGCAGAATTTGAATAGTTGCACAGCTCGACAATATATTTTAATTCTGTCAGCCTAACAGTTCATGGTGTCAAAGAAGACCAAGAGAGTACTGAAGGAAGACCGTGGACCTCTATGCTGTGGCCAAACAGTCAGATGCTTCCCAACAGAATACAAAGTCACTGAACGGTTAGTTAGCTTTAAGATGAACAAATAGTTTTCACTGTTTGAAATTATGAAGTACATAGCAGTTAGATTTTTACAAAACAATGTACATTTTTGAGTATATCTAATTGGAGTTTCTTGACTGTGGCCTAATCTGATTAGAGCTAAATTACCTGCTCCCACCAGGAAAGGCCCCACCGGGCCCTGGGTGCAGGCGGGTCCTGCCCAGCAGCGCGAGGGCCCAGCCCCCGTCCCTCCGTGGGCTCTGGCCCCGCCAGGCTTCAGTGCAGGAAGCTACACAGGGGCAGGAGGGCGCAGGCCCTTCCCCTCCAGGACTGCGGTTTGGACGACGGTCTCCCTTCTGCTAAAGGCCGCGGCCGCCCCACAGACGCAGGTGCTGGAGTTGCTCCTGGCGGCAGCTGCTGCCCTGCCTGGGCGGCGTCTTCACTGGCCTCCCCGCCCGCCATCCTCACCGGCCTCCCGCCCGCCCAGCCTCCCTGGCCTCCCCCGCCGCCCGCCTCACCATCCTCCCGCCCGTCCGCATCACTGGCCTCCCGCCTGGCTCACCGGCCTCCCGCGCAGCCAGCCTCCCCGGCCCAAGCAGAGGCGCGGGGGAGGCAGCGCCAGCCCAGCAGGGAGGCCGCCCAGGCCCGCGGCCGTCCTGCGCTGGGTGGACAGCGGACAGGGGTCCGTGGGGCGGCTCCAGCGTCCCCGTGCTCGCTGGAGACGGAAGTGGTCGCGGGACGCCGCCTCCACCTCC